ATTTGGACCGTGTTTAAGCGAGAACAAGAGGTTTGATAGAGTTCAATTGTAATGATGTAGCAGTCAGGTCACTCTGCCAACCGACGCACATTGGGGCCTCAGCCGCAAAGGGGTGGCAAAAGTCAATTAATTTTTTTAACGCTTTGGATAAATCCAATACACGAATTTTCCAAAGCTTTCTAAAATGCAAGTTTAAAAACAATCGGACTTTTAGTTTAGGAGATATGAGCAATCAAATTTGAAAAAAAAATTTGCACACACCGTGTGCAAAAATGTATTCAACTTTATGAGGTATCATTATGTTTTTGGTATCTTTTACTAGGTGTATTCATTTGTATCAATACTCAATGAAAAACTGGTCCGTTGCATAGACAGTTCCAGAGAAAAACGTATTTTTCAAACCATCTAGATAGGACAAAAATGGGCTTTCGCAGCTCTAATTCCCATACAAAATCCAAATTTTGCCGTCACTGCTATCGATGTAGAAGCCAAACGGGTCCGCTGCGCAAATATGGGCTTTAATATTTCGGTAATAAAAAAATATAATTTTTTTATAAAGTCAAGTCAAAGTTGAAAAACGGACAAAAATGAGTTCAATATTTAATCTATACTATAAATTTGTAGAAAAAAAACTGTTTGTAAGCGGCTATCTCCGCAACGCGTGTACCAAATTGCATGCTGTCAGAGAATGTGGCATGGTTTACCCAATCAAATTTTGCACTTTTCTATAAATAGGTTCCTCAAGAATTAAAAATTAATCGAAAAAAAACTTTAAATTTGTTCCAAAAGTGTAAAAGATACCAAAAACATAATCATACCTCATACAGTTTACTTTTTATTCTACCTGAAAGATGCAGCATGTTACGCCTATTTCTTTTAATTTCTCCGCAACGACAGAGTAGTGGCATTGGTTTCTAAACAAAAAATTTTACTTTTCTATAAATAGGTTCCTCGAAAATAACACAGTCGGTTTAAAACTCTACTGTCTCTGAGATATAGGCGCTCATCGAGACGGACAGACGAACAGAGAGACTTGGCTATATCGACTCGGCTGTTGGTGCTGAAACGTTTCCTTCTGTGCGTTACAGTCATGGACTTCGAAAACCAAAAAATATATCCCTATACTCTTTAAGTACAGGGTATAAAAATTAATATAGAGAGACTAATTATTTAATTATACAAGTCAATCGCAAAAACATTTTTGAAAGAGAAAAAATTTTAATTTAAATTTTCAATTGTCAAATCCGTTGCTTTGCACAATTACAAACACATACGCATTTGTAGGATCTGTTCGTACTCACACATGTAGGCGGGGGTACACTGCACTATGGGGAAAATTCCAATTTTTCGGGTATTAATTAATAACTTTTCAACTAGAAACATTTTTGGAAAAAGTAGGCGTGTTACCGCCCACAAATTAAAAAAAAATAATTTTTTTTTTTATAATATTAAAAATTAGAATATTTTTATTAATATTTATTGACTATAATACTCCTTTATACATAAAAATAATGTTTTACTTTTGGAAAAACTTAATTTTGATGAAATTCAGGAGCTAAAGAAACAATAGTTAATATTAATAGAATTTTTTTTAGTTTTTTCTTAATTAATCTTCGAAATCCTCAAAAGTTGGATATGGGCCTTCAATTTCACATAATAAGAGGATTTAAAAATCGATGGGAAGGGCAAGGCCTTTATGCTTGCTGCTTGAATCAACATAGAGACATTGCTCTTGAGTTTTTGATAGAGCTGCTGCTTGTTTTTTTAGCACCTACCCCTTTAACAAGTAAGCCATCTTTGGATGACCAATTTGTCGATTATTGTTCCTATTCGAGTCGCTTTTGTATAATTTTGTTGTGCTCATTAACCAGTTTTAATGATTTTTTCAAAATATTTTTTGTTCCGCATGCATTTTTTCCATTTGGCATTCTAGTTTTGGCACACAATTTGACTTTTACTCTTTAAATATAGCACATGTTTTAAAACATGATTGTTTTTATGAACTCTCTTCAAAAAAAAAATCCAGAATCGCATTTTCTTGATTGCATTTGCCTTTTTCCTTGCGCCATACACCAAACAGCTGCGCGTTTGAAAACTCGAAGTCCGCTGCAAAAAATTAATTTGCGCAGATAGTGCGCAAAAGTGTGCATTAAGACAAACTGCCTTTAAATCAAAATTATTAGCTCTACGACATACAATTGGACGTACACTTGTCAACCCTAATTCTTTTTTTATATGTCTCCACGAACTTGAAATATATTTCCAAAAAATGTGCTTTGAGAACGTTTCCTACTTTTACAAAATATTAATAGAACACGCACAACAACAAAGTATTAGTACAACCATTACATAGTTAAAACCTGTGTGATTGCTATCCTTTTTAAATTTTACAAAAAGAATGTTTCGCGTTTGAATAGTGGCATTTTGAAAATAGGCTGCAAAAATATTGCAATCTTAAAGCAAGTGCTTTTCTACAGCAACAGCTGACTTTAACAGCTGTTAGACTTAACAGTGCTATGTTATATAACATTTTTGGTATTGAACTTTACAGTTTGAAGTTTTCTTAATATGTTACCAAAAAAAAAAACCAATTTTAATACTTTGAGAAAATGACTAAATACCCGAAAAACGGGAATTTTCCCCATAGTGCACTGAAGAGCAAAACTGTAACACTAATTCAGTCCTCTCACTTCAACGGTCTGTATCTTGTCTTCTTTTTAATGCATGCTAAAGATCTTGTCTTGTTTTTGAATCTTTTAACTTGGTTTTATAAAAATTTGTAGCCATTTGATGCGCCGGAAGAAATATGCCAAACCAAAATGTAAAAAAACTCAAATGTTACAGTTGTGCACTGCGGGTAGCTATATTTTAAAAACATATTTTTATTAATGTTTCCACAGCCCTTTTAATTTTTTTTAGTTCTATGCGATTTGCCATTTTGTGGGTGTAGCGTTGCCCCATTGCAGGGGGAATAGCGTACTATTCATCTTTTTCCTTTTCCACAACTCCATCATTGCACTTGGAGAGACCGCACATATCACCAGCTGCGAGTGGATATGTGATCAGCATCAATAGCCGAGTCGATATAGCCATGTCTGTCTGTCCATCCGTCTGTCTGTCCGTCTTGAAGAGTGCGTAGATCTCAGAGACTCTAAGAGCTTGCGCAACCAAATTTTGTTTCTAGATTAATGTGATATCACACTGATATCACAAGTGTATTTCAAAATTCCGCCAGCCCCCTTCCGCCCACACAAAGGACAAAAATCTGTGGCAGGCACAAATTTAAAGATACGATAAAACTAAGCTCAGTACCGTAGATAATGCCCATATCTACCAGATTGCCGAGTCTGAATCAGATCGGATCCCAATTATAGCAAGAATGAAGAAATTAATTTTCAGTTGCTTTATGTAACTTATAAAATATATTTTATACCTTAGCGCCGGAATTGGTATCGGAGTTGATGACTGCAGCTGCACAATGAACTGATTTGATACATCTGATTTAGCAGTATGGTAGATCTGGCCATTCTTTATAATTTTGCGTTTTCTGTTTTCTCGTATCTTTAAAACTCACAGGAGTTGCGATACAAAATTCGGTCGAAACAGGTCGAATGGGCCACGAAGGAGCTCTCTGAGGCAGGCTCCAGCTTACAACTACTTTGGAGTTTTACGTTTTCAACTCTTACACGTCGTTTTAAGGTGGTCCGGTTTTCAAACATTTTTGTCATCGATATTTTCTTTTCTTTAGGAGCACAATCTAATGTTGTTAAGTCTACTTAGTGAATTATGCGCACAAAAGTTTCTGTTATGTGTATACAAAAAAAAAACGATAGGGAACGTTGCAATTCGCACTGGCAGCGTTTTTACTTTTACACCCGTACTCAGTCAGTATTGGTCAACCAATCTTAGCTCAGACGTTTCTCCATAGATTTTTATGAACAATACTATACCTATAACTATACCTGGTGCACCAGGTCTTCGGCTAGGGTGCTGGGACAGAAAACTCAGTTGCGACACGTTCGGTGTATGAACTGGCACATCTATCTACATCTACACATCTACATCTACACATCTATACTGTATGGTTAGTGATCTAAGCCACTAACCATACAGTATATAGATGTGCCAGTTCATACAACGAAAGGGGCGCAGCTGAGTGTTATGTCCCGGCTCCCAGGCGCTTCGGCTCTGTGAGGCTGAGACATTCGGGTCGGGAGCCAGGCCATTCGGGTCGGGAGCTGGGCCGTTCGGCATGTATGACTCATGTCGGAAAGCGAAAGCAAGCTGAGAATTGAAAATGTATGTGTGTAAACAGACACGACAACATTTTGTATCAATTCTTATTTTCCGAAACCGTTTTGAGTTTGTTTTGAGTTTCGTTTCCAGGTTACGTACTTTCTGTGTACTTTCTGCTTTCGGGTTCGTCAATGCCTCAACCCGAGTCGAGTCGAGCGACAGAATACACCAAGAAAATATGAAGTCTTACGACGGGAATAGGTCCAGGGCCGGATTAGCAGTTGCCTAGGGCCCCCCTAGGGATAACAGAAAAAACAAAACTCCAAATAATGAATAAAAAATATAATAGCCACTGAGAAAAATACAAAATAAAGGAGAGTCCCAGATTGATGGTTGCCCAGGGCCCGGTTGAGGGTTGATCAGGCCCTGAATAGGTCGAGTTTGGTTTTAAAGTTGTTATTTGTTTGCATTGTGTGTATTTCAGTGGAGACTCAGCCAAAAAGAGGTTGCAAAATTAAAAAATATTTTATGAACGCTTTGAATAAAATAAATGTACACATCTAGTAGAACATTTTCCAGAGCTTTAGCGAATCTAATTTTCAAGATAATTTTAGTTTAGGAGATATGAGCAGAGATAACATCCGTTATTTTTATATATTGTATTTATTTCCCACCCCCACCCACTCTGCCCATTCCTCAGTTATAATGCGGCAGGTCAGCACAGGTCGCTACATCACATCAGCCCTCAAAACAAAACGAAAAACCAATTCAAGCGGCCAACAATTGTAGAGCCCACACACAAGTATGTGTGAATACATGGCACACACACATTTACATTTACGAATTTTAATTCAAAAATTGAATTTCAACGTAGTGAACTTTTTACCATATCTTGCTGCACAGTAAAAAGGTAAAAATTGTGCAAACATATGATTTATTTTATTTAATCTTTATTTGTTCTAAGAGTGTTGTTGGAGTTTTGTGTGTTGGTGTTTATGGTGACGGGATGAACAAGTTTTTAGCAGGTTTAAGCAAGGAGGGTAAGTAATATACTACTATGAATATGATATTTGATATGATATTTATTGTCACATGTTTTGTGTAGATGCCGGATCGACAACCAATTCGGACGACTGAAAATGAATCAAAACGAAGGAAGACAGAAAAGTCGAGAGTATGGGAGTTCTTTAAAAAATTGCCGGGTAAAAATGCTTAGTGCATTTTATAGTGGAAATACTACCAATTTGTCGGACCATTTAAAAAGGCTGCACCCAACTGCAAAAATAGAAAATATAAAACCACCAGTAGGTACAATCGAAACATATTTTCAACAGAAATATGAAACTTGATCTGCACGCAAAAAAAAGTCTGGACAATGATCTAGTGTACTATATTTCTTCTGACTTGCGCCCACACTACAGAATGTGCATATGAAAACTGCATACAGTTTAATGAAATGTAAGCTGCAGGATCTACTTAACGCTGTAGAACATTGTGCTGTAACTACGGACTGTTGGACTTCTCGTGCAAACGAGAGTTATTTTGATTTTGTTTTTGATTTTGTTTTACGCACTGTGCTTCTTCCAACAAAAAAATTGGAGGACCATACAAATTACTCTGCGTTAAACATAAGCGATTCCATGCGCTCGACTCTTGAGGAGTGGAAAATGTTTGATAAGGTGATAGCTATTGTTACAGATAGTGCCGCTAATATGAGCTTGCTAAAAAAATTGACTAGACAAACCTTCCTTGCTTCGCACACTCTTTGAATTTGGTTGTTCATAATTGTTTGTCTCAAGAAGAAATTAAACCAGTTATGTCAAAATGCAAGCGAATCGTTTCGTTTTTCAAGAAAGGAAGTGCTTTAAAGATTTAAAATTTAAAGATTTCCATTTATTGGAAAGATCCTTGTGGCCACCCCTAAAACCCCTCTTCCCTTGACAGCTGAGGACATTTCAATTCTGGAAGAACTTGTACAAGTCCTATCTCAGTTTGATGATGCTACAGTGCAGACACCTTCTGGTTGCGCTGTGACAATATCTCTTGTTATTCCGATGTGTGGACTTTTGCATAACCTTAATAAAATAAACACAATCTTAAAATGTGACATCGTATTAAAAGCGTGTAATTTTCTTGGAGAAAAGAATAAAAAAAAACTTCTCCCGTATGATACCCGTGCTGTCACAAAAGTAGCAACCTTGCTTGATCCTCGCTTTAAAAAGGAAGGATTCCGCTCTCCTGTGCAACTGCCAATTGGGAATTGGGATCGCGATGTACAACCCTTTTTCGTTTGCTTTGTTCCCAATTGGCAGTTGGGCCCCAACCTTCCAAAAGGTATTTTTTGTTCATTTTTTTAATTTTCAGGTTTGGTTAACCAAATTTATCTCCAAAGTTTCCCCATAGATTTTAACAGGCAATACCTTAAACGACGCCTTATTAATGCACTTATACACAAAAAAATTAAGGACACAGGATACAATTTTTTTTTTACATTTCCTGAGTTTTTTAAATTAAAATTTCGTAAAAAATACCGCACAAAAATCATCATTTTTGCATTTCAATGCTTTATATTTCCCAGACGGTAAGCTGAAATCACAAAGTTTTTGGGCTTAAAATTTAGCTGTTTTAAGTATCTTTTCAAAATAGCAAAGATCCTTACAACCAGACGTAAGATACTAGAGTTATGTGAAAAAAGAAAGCGCTAACTTTGAAAAAAGCTTTACAAAAATATACCAGTTTTCAAACATTCTTCAAAAAAAAGTTCTGCCATAGAAAAAAAATATCATTAAATCATTTGTAAGCCCCAAATTTGTAAGAAAAAGTTGGTTTTGTTCCTTGAGGAAAACTCGTGTCGAGTAGTGTTACACTAGTCAACTCAACATTTAGGCTGTGGCCCAAAATGACTTTTTCTTATAAAAGATTTACAAATTTTTTATTTTTATCGACTTACTAAAATGCTTATTTTATTAACTTAGCATGAGTAATTTTTAATGTTTTGGATGAGGGTTAATCACCAATTGAAAAACCTTTCTGGGAAAGTAAGTATCGAATTGTTTTAAGTATGTTTTATGGGTGTATTTAATCAACTCGCTGGAATCAACGTAAAAAGCGGTGTGTGAGGAGAAATTCAAGCAGAAGCGAGTTTTATGGCACCCCTGTATAGTTAGTATTTCAGAATGGAAAGATAATTACAACCAGACACTTAAGTTATGTGAAAAATAAAAGAACTACTTCTAAAAAAAACATTAAAATAATAAAGCATTAAAATGGTAAAAAAAATTGCATTTTTGTAATTCTTTAAACAAAATTTTTCGCGCGAAATGCGAGAGCGCCTTAATGTGATTTTGGGCAGATGGGTTACGTTTTCGCCAGGGATCCGAGCGTAATTCGTTTCTCTTAGGCCACTTGATGGTGGTTCACAAAAACGTCCTAGTAGGTGGTGACGAAGCTAAATAGGCGACTAGTTGGTTTAAATAAACAATGTGTATTACACATATAATTTTTTAACCCCGTTGCAAATAAATAGTGATGAAGTTTTTTTTAAACCTATCAATCGTTTTAAACTCTAGATAAGCACCGTTCGTTTTGGTAGGTTATGTTGTGCTATTATGATCCGTGCATACTCTTACTCGAAAATTTAAGGGGTATATGAGATTTGTGGTAACGCAGGTTCCAAAACACCTCCCAAAAAAAAAAAAAAAAATTTCTTAATTAGCCCCAAAACCCGAGTAGATATAGCCAGTCTGCTGTCCGTCCGTCTGTACCCCCTAGTCTCAAAGACTATAACAGCTAGAGCAACCAAAATTTAGTTTCCAGACTTTTGATTATAGCACATAATTCAAAATTTAGCAAACGATAAAAACGCACGATAGAGAATGACCATATCTATTTGATTGCCGAATCTGATTTAGCCATGGATTTTCTGTCTGTCCGTCATCTCTTCTTGTACGTCTTGTTTATCGCCTAGTTCTCAGAGACTATAACAGCTAGAGCAACCAAAATTTAGTTTCAGACTTACATTTTTATTATAACCTGCTTACATGTGTGTAAAATATTTTCAAATCTATCTTAATTTTGATCTGTGTGTAAGCGGCTATCTCCGCAACGACTGCAACAAATTACATGCTGTTCTTTATTAATGATAGCCAGAGAATGTGGCATGGTTTGCACAAACAATTTTGTACTTTTCTATAAATAGGTTTCTCAGAAATCAAAAATTAATCAAAAAAATCTAAAATTTGTTCCAAAAGTGTGTGTTTGAACGCCTATTTCATCCCCCCAATTGCAGGTTTTTTTAAAAAAAAGCCAAAGGATGTGGGATTGTTTCTAAATAGTTTCCCAATAAATATTAATCAAAAAAAAAAATCAAATTGGGTCTAAGAATGTGTGTGCGTTCCACTTATAATAGCGTGGCATTTCTGAAAAGAGTAAAGTCCTTGCAAACGGATCGCATTTGCGTCAGTAAAGTACACACGCTTTCCGTTGTCCAAGTGACGATGATGTTCATGGATCGGATATGAAAAATAGCCGCCAGATTGCCTCGACACAACTCGCGTAACGTCCTAGTTGAAATTTCGTAACCTCATCGTTTGCATTTGGACCGGCAGTGCCAAACACCGCCATGTCGCTCCCTTTGTTGACATATTTGCAAAAGTATTTGATGGATTTGATGGAGTTGAAGTCGACAAAAGCGCACAGTATGGAACGATCCAGCGGCTATTAATAACGACATCTTTTGCTTTCACTTCCATCACGATTGATCCGCCGTTGTCATTTGGAGAGCGACGCCGATACAATGGATATCTGTCCTTTCCACTGATTGTGTCGTTCACCAACGGACGGGGAAAACGCTTTGTGCAGATTTCCGTTTTCCATACACGGTGAGTCTGGGTTGTAGACTTCGCTGTTCGTTGTCACAATGGAATGCAACTCCGGATCAGTTTGTGGATCTGGTATTTCGGCAGAAATGATCGAATCACTATGATCTGGTCGAATCTTGTCGAGCCTCCAAAGCAAAATGTGTGCATTTGGTAAACCACGCTTCTGCCATTCAATCGAGTATATCCAGCAAAAACCCTTTACTTAAAAATGTCATTCATGAGTACTTTGATCTTTTCTTTGAATACTCGTGTAGTGATATCATGTCGATCGCTGTATGTTCGTCCTGTCAGCAACAGATTCGTAATTTCGGGCAATTTCGGATTGCAAGTGAGCGTGATGATTTAAACGAATGAAATTGAGCCGCTCCGTTTCGACCTTTATGTACATGTCGACGCAGTACTGTTGAAACAACCGGCGATATCTCAACAGATGATTGTCAACCTCTTGCCGAATCATCAATCGATACGCATAATAATTCATTGCGCTGGCCTTATTCTTTTCTTCTCCTGAAATATGAAGTTATCCAGCTTAGTTGTAGATTGAAAAAAGAAGTAATTACTTTTCCGGGGGTTTACGATTGAAACTTCAATGCATTGCAATGCTGGCATACGACAGACAATGGACCGATATTAACGTAGTCAAGATTTTGGTAGGCTATTGCGCTATTGCAAAAGCAGAGCGATTCAAATCTACTGGTCGAATTTGAGGTGGTAATTGTGTAGCGCGTGCCTCCATTCAGTTACTTCTGCTCTTTCCTCTTTAGTTAGATTAATCGAGACATTCCGATTACTTATTTCACGACGTGTACGTCGTCCAAAGTTTTATCCTCTAATAGCAGGCATATTAAACCTCAATTGATGAATAATATCTCGAGAACTAATCTTCGACTATGACGTTAGTCATGGTAATTGTGTAGCGCGTGCCTCCATTCAGTTACTTCTGCTCTTTCCTCTTTAGTTAGATTAATCGAGACATTCCGATTACTTATTTCACGACGTGTACGTCGTCCAAGGTTTTATCCTCTAATAGCAGGCATATTAAACCTCAATTGATGAATAATATCTCGAGAACTAATCTTCGACTATGACGTTAGTCAATCCGATTACTTATTTCACGACGTGTACGTCGTCCAAGGTTTTATCCTCTAATAGCAGGCATATTAAACCTCAATTGATGAATAATATCTCGAGAACTAATCTTAATTGATGAACTCAATTGATGAAAAAATAACTCGTCTTAAACTATGACAATTGGCTCTTCGCCTACTTCCATAAATTAAACAAATACAAAAAAACTTTTTTTCGCGATCGTATCAAAATATTCTTTCGTAAAAACATTCTGTGGCAAATACGAACAACTGAATACAAATTCAAACCAAATCTGCCCAGCCGTTCTCACGTGATGATGCACTATACATTTTTATCTCTACATTCTTATATATATAGATTTTAAAATTCAAGATATATTATAAGCTCACATATTTATATACAGACTGATTACGTGCATAAAAGAAGATTCGCGTCCACAGAAGCGAACCACAACGTTCCTTCACGCTATTTCAAGTTGCTCTGCTCCATTAACTTTGCTCTGTTTCTGCAGTACCGATGTATATCGATTTTACTTGCTGCCATTCACGTTAATGTTTGTAATGGCAACTAAACTTCGATGCTTGGTCATACAGTTAACGGATTAAAACACGGGACACTTCGGAAAATGAAACATTAAACAATATGGTATTTTGGTCATAGCTTCTAAAAGTTAATACCTATTAAAAAAAACTCAATAGCTCAACATGATAAATCATAAAAATTTTTATTGATCATAAAAATCATGTATGGCAAGAGAAAATGGGAGTACTTTACCACGATTGACATGCTTATGCATTTTAAATAACGTTTTAAATATTTAAAGCTGGAATTGATTACTTACCTGTTTTGATAATTGGAAAAAACTAAGGAGTGCCAAAATAAAGAGGGTCCGGACTCCATATGCAGAACACCTGAGGGGACTTGAGGAACACATCCTTTATATAAAATTCAAATCGCATATCTGTAAATGAAATTGGAATGATAGCAAATTTTTTTTATTTTCAATGGTAGATACGGTATTTAAACAACTTGGAATTCTGCGATATTACAGGACATCACATAAATGAAAGATCAGAGGGACATGTCCATATCGACTCGTTTAATGATCTAAATATGTACATCGTTCTGGCTGTTACATATGTACGTACATATACAATACTTATCACGAATTTTAAATAATGTACTCTGAGCACCGTGTGTAAGCATATGCCACGGTTCTACTTGTATACCCGGTACTCAGTCTACTATATGTGAACCTATGATTTTTGTCCAATTTTTAAATATTTTATCTGCTTAAATTTGTTTGATACATTTGTCATCTACATCTACAATGTAGATTCTATCTCTCCTCCGCCAGAGTCTCCACGATGTAGACTGGGATCTAGTCGCTCATCGAGACGGACAGACAGACATATATACTTTATTTAGTCGGAAACGTTTCCTTCTGTGCGTTACGCCCATTCACTTCGACAAAAAATCTAATGTACACCTTAACTCTTAGAGAATCGGGTATAAATAGCAAAACCTTGTTGAATCCACGAATTTATTAACATACATTAATATGTATGTACATATATGTATGAGTGAGAGATGGGACGAAGCGACGTCTTCTTATGTAAATTTATTTTTCTTTTTATACCCGTACTCAAAAAAGAGTTAAGGGGTATATTAGATTTGTGGTAAAAGTGGATGTGTGTAACGCAGAGAAGGAAACGTTTCCGATCCCATAAAGTATATATATTCTTGATCAGCATCAATAGCCAAGTCGATATAGCCATGTCTGTCTGTCTGTCCGTCCGTCTTGTTGAGCGCCTGGATCTCAGAGACTATAAGAGTTAGGGTAACCAAATTTGGTTTCCAGACTCATGTGATATCACACTGCTACAAGTGTATTTCAAAATTTCGCCCCGCCCCCTTCCGCCCACACAAAGGACGAAAATCTGTGGCAGGCACAATTTTAAAGATACGATAAAACTAAAAACGCAGTTTCGTAGAGAATATCCATATCCACCAGACTGACGAATCTGAATCAGATCGGATCAAAATTATAGCCAAAATGAAGAAATTAATTTTCTGTTGCTTCCTCTGCCACCCCTGCCAGAGATACGATACTCATTCTATTTCTCGCTCGCACAATCTGCCGCGTTCAGTGCGCGAGCAACCCCTAGCGGAGGAGATGTAGAATATGGATGATACATCTATAATCTACATGTTAGATGTAAAATATACATTGTAAATGTAGATAACAGATGTAGCAAAAAAATGTAAAATTTTTTTTTTTAATTCTAAAATTCTAAAAAAATAACCAGTAATACGACTAAGGGGTATAGAGACGCGCCCCGAGCGACCACACGCCCCGTTTTCGATCTGCCTGCGAGCAGAAAAAATGCTAGTTACAAATAAACCATGCAAATGAACGAACGCAACGGATTTTTAATTTTCAATACACAAATCCTTTTCACGGATTTGGTAAAATTCCGTCAAACAAAATGAGCAAACCACAGATAGAAATATATATTTTAAATATTCAGATTTCCGGCCAACATCAGTTTCCAAATTTTTAAACATAAAAGTAGCCGGAAATAGCTATAAAATAGCTGATTAGGCTGTTGCTGTGCGTGAGGAAAAGAAAAACAAGAAGGAACGTTGTGAGTCGCTTTTGTGGACGCGACTCTACTTTTATACCCGTATTCAGTCAGTATATAATTTGTGAGCTTATGAGTTATGCAGAATTTTACATTTTACATTTCTTTGCTACATCTGTTATCTACATCTAAAATGTGTATTCTACATATAAAATGCATATTATACATGTACCCTTTAGATTCTACACCTTCTTCGCTAGCGGGCACTCCCGCACTGAATGAGGCAGAGTGTGCGAGCGAGAACGAGAATAAGTAGCGTGATCCCTTGCTGGAGGAGGTGGGGGAAGCAACTGAAAATTAATTTCTTCATTCCGGCTGTAATTATGATCGGATCTGATTCAGATTCGGCAATCTGGTAGATATGATCATTCTCTACGATACTGCGTTTTTTAGTTTTATCGTATCTTTGAAATTGTGCCTGCCACAGATTTTTGTCCTGTGTGGGGTCGGAAGGGGACGGTGCGAAATTTTGGAATTTAGAGATCTAGGCGCTCATAGACGGACATGGCTATATCGACTCTTCTATTGACGCTGATCAAGAATATATATACTTTATGTGGTCGGAAACGTTTCCTTCTCTGCGTTGCACACATCCACTTTTACCACTAATACAATAATACCCCTTAACTCTTTTTGAGTACGGGTATAAAAACAATAATCTGAATTGAATTAAACAAGTATCTGAGTAGAAAAATGCCTTTAGCGAGACTGTTGGCCATCGAAAAGCTTCGGAGGCAAAATATTAGAAACCCCTTAGCCGAACAGGGGTTCTTAACATAAATACAATGGCAATGTGTATAAGTGGTTTGTTAATTATGTTTGACATTTTAAAGCGACGCCACCTGGTAGAACTACAACTGATTACAAATGTTTTCACAAAAAGTATGCAAACGTTTGTGATAAAGGAATTTTTCACTGCAATAAGCTATTTTTTTTAATGCTTTTTAAAGAAAAAACAGAATGCATTCAATATAATTAATATTAAATATCTTGCTCCGAGTTCGTCTTTAAAAAGGTGGCATTACTCTCCTAACTTTGAAAGTTTGAATCTCACTAGGCGGCCACATAAAGTATATATATTCTTGATCAGCATCAATAGCCAATAGTCAATAGCATCAATATTTCAAAATTTGCGCCCCTACCGGAGGAGATGTAGAATCTACATTGTAGATGTATAATCTACATTTAAGATGGGTAATCGGCATTGTAGATGTAGATAACAGATCTTTCAAAAATATGTAAAATATTTTTAAAATTCTACATAAATCTAAGCTCACAAATTTATTTAAAATTTTGTTTAAATGGCCACTCTTGGCAACGATCCGTGTCGATTCTTACTAGGGATCCTGCGATTCGAACGTTTTGCACCTTTTCTTTAAAAATTAAGTTCTGGTTTGAACAATTAAGTTCTGCGTTGAACAATTGAGTTTAGGCGGAACAATTTAGTGCTTCAGTATAGCGGTGACCGAAACAGTCAGCGGGAGTTAGCACAGAAATAGTTCGTCAAGAAATAATTTTTGTGGGACCGACGAAAGACGTTTGCTTTTGTGCAATCGCGCGCTAAAAGACTTTGTTCTGCACGGGCAGGTACCTGCACGGGCGCCAGTTAGAAATTTAGTTTACAGACTTTGTTTTTCTTTGTTAAATTTCATATTGTCAATAGAGCTGCTTGTTTATTGAAACTTTTGAGAACTTTTCTTGTTTGGTTACGCAGCCAAATAATCCGTAGATCATAGTCAGTGGTGCAGCAGTAGAGTAAATATATATTTTTGTTCGTCATTTATACTGCCCACTGCTTAACTTAACTTAACATACATATGTATGTACATATCCCACACGGCAGCAGAATATGCAGCCGTTCTCTTTCGCCTCTCGCGCTGTCATTCTTTCCTTTGCTTTGTTATCGCTCTCTCTATCTTTCGCTCGTACTGGGGCATGGGCAATTCTTGATCTTGCAATTACTCCTTGCACATCGTCTTGAAATCGAGCTATTCAATCCGACACCGTCTTGTACCGACCCCGTCTTGAATCCAGCTAACTATCCAACCGACTCGTCATGCTCTCGTCATCAACCTAACTCGAAGCTTTCGCTCTTTCTTCGACTCTAAATTGCGTTATATACTGTCTACAACAATAAACCATATTTAATCTGAAAAACCATCGTCTCGTTAATAAACATATCGCAAAAGAACCCTACTGAAAAAGCTCAGTAGATCAACATTTGGTGACCCCGCCGTGGTATATACAATTAAATCACAAAAACAAAAAGCGCCTCGAGAAGATGGACTACGATGAGATTGGCAGTGAACTCTCCGATGGCTTTCAAGAGCTTTTCCTGACGCTGAAAGCTATCATTCTGTCAGGGAATCACACCTGCCCCCGTTCAAGTGGATTCGTACTCGATTTTGGAGCCAATTGGTCAATATAGCCATGTCTGTCTGTCCGCCCGTCCGTCTTGTTTGTCGCCTAGATCTCAGAGACTATAAAATCTAGAGAAACCAAATTTTGTGTCTAGATTCATGTGTATTTCAAAATTTCGGCCCCTTCCACCACCACAAAGGACGAAAATCTGTACGATATTTGCGATATTTGTGGCAGCCACATTGTGTATGTAGAATCTAAATTTTAGATGTAAAATCACACGTTCCGTTCCTTCTCGTTTTCTTTTTGCAATTAAGATTTTTTTAGTTATGGGAATATTAGGACTTTGTTGCCGGGAGCACCTGACTTTTCGTTTTTAAAAGTAAATTACTTTTTTTTGTGAAAGTGAAAACCCGAGCCTGCCTGTATGTCCAACAATTATTCCTGAAGTGAATGGTGCAAGATGTAGGCAAAAACTGTGCGGTAACCCAAAAAGAGAGATGAAAAGTATTTTTTTTTTGTTGCAACAATATAACCCGCCATCAACACAACAACTTCATCGTCAGAGTGCATTTTTTTTCCTTTTTAATTTTAGGAGAATTTCACAATTTGCATTGTTTACAAAACACAGCTGATTTATCAACCCTGTTTTAGCTATGTTTCACACCCGCACGGAATAATTAGCAAATTCTTGGCAGGAATTTTCCGCGGTGCTGGAGACAGGCCTAAAGCCAACAAAAGTGAATTGGAATATAGCACTCATCAGGGAAATAAATACTTTTACTATTACAATATTAACAAGATGAGATTTCTCAATATCACATTTACTAAATACATATTTATATGTACATATGTATCTTAAAAATATATGTACATTTGTATGTTTATACGAAAATGCATTTTTGTTTTTGAAAGCCTCACATATTTACATACATAGTAAAAATACAAAACATTGTACTTACATTTGTATTACCTATTATATCCATACATATGTTATTAAATCTTTTATTTAGTATGTACACTGCAATAATGTAAAAACAAATAAAAGCTGGTTTATACAAAAAATAAATGCTAGGAATATTTCTTTTGTTATGCATACATTCATACATATGTTATTATTAAGATAAGGTGCTAAGGTTTATTTAGATTTTAATGTATGTACGTATGAAAACTACTTTAATTGAAATGTAGTTACAACTTTAATTCCGGGGGTTTGTTCGACTGATCTTGCATCTGTAAATTGAAATTCTACCGATTGATCAGGTGAAAAATATTATTTAAAGCCTATTACTAGGGCTGCAAAACCATCGATGGTATCGATTGTCAAATTTGGCAATATACGATGGTTTTTTTTTACCAATTTTGGTCGAGATGGGGTGAACATATCAAGTAGTTCGTTTATTTAATTTGTATTAAGGAATTAATACCTGTATTATGGGCGAAAGCAACGTTTCCTAAAAAAAAAAAAAACAAAAACCAAAAACACGCGCGGCCAATCGACGGAAAGGGTGACCAAGATAACGGCCAAAGTCCAGTGACTGGCACAGCCCGTTCCGTATAATACCTAGGTTTTCGGGCAAAATCCCGTCAAGCACCTACTGGGACTTTGTTGGTAGGCGATTGTGCCGGGCAATCCCAGGGGGGGGGTGGCTGGGGGCGGGGCGGCCCGGGAGCGCAGCGCTAATGTTGGACTACCGCAGTGTTTTACCATGATCTCCTTTAGGATGGGACATGTCGCAAGAAAGTGCATAGTATCCTCCGGTGCGCGCATATTGCACAGCGTGCACTCTGCTGTAGCGGGACTTCTGTATGGGAACGCGTTAAGTGGTAGAGTTTCTGTGCGCTTCGCTTCCCAGCTCGTGATGAAATCGGTGTTGTTGTTTGTCACATACTTAAGTACCTTGTTTGGGAGTCGATTGTCAGTCATATCCATCACTTTGGATGCATAGCTGAAATGTTTTTGCAGCGTATATATAAATACTGCCGAGAGACCAGTTTCCAGATGGATTGCGTACGTCGGCGTGTTTTGTGGGAGTCTAATGATTTTTTTATTATAAAATTGCAGGAGTTTTTCTGCTGCTTCATAGCGCTCGTGTCCCCACACCTCCGCTGCCCATTATAGTTTGTGCTGTTGCCATGTATATTTTATATTTTGTGCTCGGAGAAACTTTTCTTTTGCCAAGCAGCTGTTTCCATGTGCAATTTAAGGCCACCTTTGCGTCCGCTATCTTGTTTTGCACATGCTTCTCAAAGCATGTGACCAAGGTACTTAAACTCACCGACCGTTTTCAGTATCTCTCCATTAAGGGTTCTCGATTCGTGCTGTGCCCTGCGGCCTCTGCCATCTTTTATCACCATGACTTTTGTTTTTTCGGCGTTGATTCTTAGGCCCCAAGTTTGGCAATAATTTTGCATGGTGTCGATCATTTCTTGCAGCATGGTGTGCGATTCTGCCAAGATTACCATGTCGTCTGCGTACATAAGTACCTTGACGTTCTCCGTTCCTATATGTACTCATCCTGTCAGGACCGACGAAATGTCGTCCACGTACAGGGCAAATAGCAGTGGGCTTAGGAGACATCCTTGCATTACTCCCAGGATGCATGAGAACCATTCTGACAGATTATTGCCGTTCCAGACCGCGGCCGTGTTATCGCTGTAGAGACATTTTAGTATGTTCAATATTTTTGTTGATACTCCGGCCAAGCTAAGTTTTAAAAATGAGCTATGTCGGTCGATGGTGTCGGCAGCCGCTTTAAAGTTTATGAAGCAGGTGTACATCTTCTGGTTTCGCCTCCTGTACTATTTTGCTATTGCCACCAGCACGAAAATGCTGTCCACTGTGCTGTACCCTTTTCTAAACCCAGCTTGGTATTCGCTGAGCACACCATTCTTTTCTACCCAGTCATTAAGAGGCGAAAGCACTATTGATGCTGTTCGTGGGGGGAGGTTCTTGCCAGTAAGTTCGGAAAGAAAGATGGAACAAAATAGCGGTTTGGCCAAAGTAAAAGGTGCGCGTGCGTCTGGTGTCGTTCCGTTTATTCGTGATACTGTTTTTCTATTCTAAGCTTAGTTCATACTCTAGTTGGGCGCGCAGGCCGCTGCTCAGCTCAGAGCTTTCGGGTTGTAGGTGAGTTTTGTTTAGCTTATTGAGATGATAGGCACATGGTGCATAATTTTCGGCATGAGCATCCGCCCCCCTTGCAATATAATTGCATCAAGAAGGGGGCACCCAGGAACGGGGGAGGACATTCGTCTCTCCGTTATGCCGTGCTGCATGTTCCGGGTCCATCCGAACACCGTGTTCTGGGCCATAGGGAAGCCTTCACTGCTTGGGATCACTCCCGGCAGAATAATCTTGGGGTAGACATCTGCCCCCAGTACCAATGACACGGTGCTCGGAATGTAGGGATGAAAGTTCTCATCCGCCAAGTGCATGTTAGCGAAGTGGTTCTTGACGTGGTCGCCCAAGGGTCTCGCCGGAGTCCCTATCAGGAGTTGAGGTCGCACAGACAGCACGACTTCCAGTCTGACATCGCTCCTTGTCCTTGATTGGATGAAGGCGGTGCAAGCACCTTCGGCACCAACACGAGTCACGGAAAGCCCAAAAGCCGTTGCCAATGATGCGTTGATGCAGCTGGTTGGGCTGCACGGATTAATGAGTGCGCCAGCCTCGAAGGTCTTGTACCTCGCATCGACGACGACCCATGCCGTCGGGAGGATGCTGGTGCTCCTGGATTGCAGGAGCGATGCCAGTGTCGTCGGAGGAGCAGTGGATCTGGGGGTCGATCTTGCTGGTGGAGGGTCTTCCCTTGATGGAAGAGAGCGTGACTACGGACGTGAAGTCTGGGGCGATCCGCCCAGGTGGAGGAGTGTGCTGTGGCCTTTTCCCGGCTTCTGTCGCCGCTTCGGCATGAGCGACCGGAGTGCTGGTGAGCCAGGCAATTGTGGCAGTACTTGTTAATCAGCACTGCCCGTAGACGTTTCTCCGCGGTCAGCTTCAAGAACCGTTGTCACTTCCTTAGCGCGTGGACTCCTCGGCAGACCCGACAGCGGAAGCTGTTGGATCCCCTCGGTTGGTTGCGCTGTACTGGACGTTGGCGAGATGTCATGCTTGAAAAAGAGAGATCGTGGAATATTAGCGGATGGATCATTTTCAACAAACAACATCAAACATATTGGTTAGTTGGATACTGGGACGTGGACAGCACTGTCTACCGGAAGAAGAATGAGTTTTGCTACTGGCCGCTTAATGGTGCCGCGGACAGTTAAAACGTCGACCACGCGACTTCCTAGGCGCCATTCATTGAGGGGTAGGTTGTCTTCCTTGATGACAACCATGTCGCCTGCCTGAAGATTTCTTTTTGGTAGTTGCCACTTATTCCTTTTGTGTAACTCTTTAAGGTATTCGTCCTTCCAACGGAGACAAAACTGCTGGTTTTGAGCCTTCAGACGCTGCCATCTATTGATTATTGACCCTGCTTCATCTTTTATTTCTGGCTCTGCAATGGAGATAAGCGGACCGCCAACCAGAAAGTGGCCGGTCAGTCGGATCTTCTGACATGGGAGAAATCGGCAGCGAATTGAAGCACGCTTCAATCTTGGAGAGGAGGGTCGACAACTCTTCAAAAGTGTACTTCGATGTCGACGTGGACTTGTCGAAAAGCGTCTTGAAACTTTTCACTCCCGCTTCCCACAAGCCACCCATTTGAGGTGCGCTTGGAGGATTGAACCGCCACGTGAGGTTCTGTTGAGGATAGGCGGAAATAAAACACTCTCTTGTGGCTACTGGAAAGTCATGGGACAGGGCTTTTGAGGCTCCTATGAACGTTTTTCCATTGTCGGAGTATATTTGCTGAGGACAACCCCGCCTTGCCACAAACCGGTGAAAGGCGGCGAGAAACCTTTCGGTTGTGAGATCTGAGGTTGCTTCTAAATGGATCGCCTTCGTGCTGAAGCACACAAAGACACAAACATATCCCTTGTTTATACGGCACGCTCGACCAGTGTATGTCTTGACATCGAACGGTCCCGCAAAAGCGACACCCGTTCGAATAAATGGACGAGAGAAGGATGTCGTCTCTTTGGGCAAGTCCCCCATAATGTGGGTTTGCAATTTTTGTCGATAAATCGTGCAAACTAAGGTCCGCAGTTTCGGGAGCCAGTATTTGGATCGGACAAGTCGCATCACAAGTTGGTTCCCACCGTGCGATGATGCGATGAGTAAACCGAACGAGGAGACGCGTGAGTACGCAGGAATAAGGAAGAATGATCGGGTGTTTCTCATCATAACTCATTGACTCGGAGGTTCGCACCCGACCGCATGCCCTGAGGACACCTTTTTGGTCGATAAAGGGGTTGAGGTTACTGATGGTGCTGGTCGCTGGAAGTGACTGCTTGTCTAGCAAGCGCTGGAATTCTTTTGCATACTCGGCACGTTGAGCACAGATGACCATACGCTCTTGAGTCTCGGAGAGCTCGTTGCTACCGAGCTGGACTGGAACTAGAGTATCGGGCTTCTGACACAGCTTTATAAAACGGAAGACCAAAGATATATCCTCATGGCCTTTCCGAATTCTGTGAAGCGGTCGATGACATTGGGTTCCGGGGACGGCTTGGACAAGTTGCACTTCACCGTGCGTTGTGTCTTTTGGCAGAGAGTCATCCCACCCGAGCTGAAGGGAGCCAGCCATCCTGCTGGATCGAATAATTTGGATATTTGGGATAGAACTTCTCTTTTTGTGTAAGAGGAGCTTATGACTACCCCGGATGGCCGAAAAAAGAATTCATCACTATCCGCCTGCCACCGTATATCTAAGGTCTTCGCGGAACAAGAGTCCTCCATCTCAAGGAAATCGGCAAACAGTAAATGGTCCGTAGGAATGTCCTGGAGGAACGGCTTTGCATTCGAAGTCCACTTCCTCAGCGGAAAACCCGCACTGTCAAGTGCAGCGCGAAGCTCCTTTATAGATGCGATTGCACCTTGATATTGTTGGTGGGCCACCGCGCAGACAGCGGGTACAGTATCACATCGAATTGGATATGATGTCGCTTGCCAGTGGGAATCGCTGTAGGACTGTAGGAAGAATCGCCATTTCAGTATCGGATTGGCGAACAGG